ACTTATGCTACTCCCAGAGGCCATTATTCCACTCGGGGTTGTTATTCCAGTCCCAGAGCACTCCTCCTGGGCCCTGTGACCCGTATTGTATCCATTCATATTTTCATTGCAACTCGAGTGTGCTGTAATGTACTTCAATGGAGCCCATGCAAGTAAATTGGCATTTCAGCACCTCCCATTGTTGCTAACAAGTAATCCAATTATTCCTTTTAGTATATCCCTCCATGTTAAATCAGTTTGGCTTGGATTCTCTGGTTTGACACTGGTTGTGTTAGGCATGCCACATTGCCCCATGGTTCTGCTGGGCTTGTTGGTTCTGTTTGTAGAACCAACAAGAACTGGCTTTTGACCAGTGGTTGCTTTTGTATCTTTGGCTATTCTTTGCCTTGGAGAAAACACGGAATTCTTCCAGAAACAATGGAGGATGACTGGGGACTCTTGGTTCAATTGGGCCTCTTGGGTCAATTCACTAGAAACCAAGGGTTTTTTTTAGTGGATACACAGTTCCACTGCAATTTTGGTGTCATTTGCTTAAAAACAGCCCCTCTAACCCCTCAGAAAGATTCCCATACAGAACAGTGAAGCCAAATAATAGCAGAATCACCCCCCTGCAAAAAAAAAAACCCCATTGATCCTAATACCAAACCAATATCTGAAGTCTGAACAACCAGGAATACTGATATTTTTTGGCTCCCTGATATGCTGCTTTTTTGTTTGCTATTTGTTTGTGTGCTTGTTTTGTGGTGCACATCTCTATTATGAAATTATTTAAGATGTGGTTTCAACATCATAGCAGCAACTGATTTTCAACAGAAACACTTCCTTGAACAAAGCAGGCTCTAAAGACACATACCCCACCCCCAAAGAAGAAGAGGGGCACTTCGGTGGAACAGTTAAGAGAAATGACCAGCTTCATCAATACTTTTTTGTTAAGACAGGAATGCATGTTAAATACTGTGGCCATTTAAAAAGTCTGCAGCCCAGAAAGTCAAGTTCAACAAAGTTCTTTGCTAAGTTGCAAACTCACTCCTATTTGGGGAAGTTAATCATATGTCTTAATAAGGCATTTTGGTAGGCTAGCTTTCACACAAGGCCCAAAGGAGAAAGAACAAAATATAGCAATATTTTCATTTCACTTCTGTTTTCAAGTCTCCTGTAGCATTACTTTTTGTTACTTAGCACTTCCGCATTTTAGAGTGTGGCTTGCCTGATGTTAACTACTGAATATATGACAAAGATTAGTTTTTGTATTATACTTCTGGACTGTGATGGTTACGCTGCCTTCCCTTTCTTCTCTTTCTGGATGTAGAGAGATAAACCTAAGGAATAAAGAGGAAAGGGGCTAGCTGAGGGGGCATTCCCAGAGAAAGGTAAAATTGATTAGTTTAACTCAGTCTTCACTAGGCCTTAGGTCCCAAAAGTAGACCAATTTCAGTTTAAAGTGGATAATACAATCAAACTCCTACTACTTAATTCGGTAGCTCCTATTCCCAAACAATATCGAATTATTTATGACTGCAGCAAAATTGACTTTTGCAAGGATTTTAAAATCAAATCACAGACCATTATTACTAGAATGGTTAAATAAAGTAAAACAAATATACAAAACATTAAAATTCCAATCACAACAGAATTAAAAAAGAAATTAAAACCAGATTAAAAGAAGTCCAAGATGGCGTCCCTAGAAATTTTATCCCAGTTCTGGACTGTCTGGCCACTTCTGGGCAGGGAAGAGGAAGCACAGGTTCAGAGTAGGGGGGAGGAGGAAAGAAGAGGGTGCCAGCTACAATAGAGAAATGTTGCTGTCCTCAACAAAAGCTTGGCGGACCATCCCCCTTTATAGGCCCTGCGAAATTGCATAAGATCCTGCAGGGCCCTGGTGGTGTTAGGCAGAGAGTTCCACCAGGGTGGGGCCAGGACTGAAAAGGCCCTGATCCTGGTCGAGGACAGCCAGACATCTTTGGGGCCAGGGATCACCAGTAGGTTATCTGCAGAGCACAAAGGTCTCCCAGGGACGTATCGGAGGGGACAGTCCTGCAGATACTTTATTAAAGTTAACTTTATTGCAGACATCAAGATGTTCATAAATCACTAAACAATGGGACACAGATTTTAAAGATGGAAAGAGATACAAAAGGCTTAAAAGTAGTAATAATTAACAAAATTATTATTAGTTTGTCATGTAAAATAATTGCAGTTAAATTTAATACTGTCTTTTTTCTTCTTCTTTTGTTTATTAGCTTAATTGTTGTATGATATAATTTTAATTAAAAAGTAGAAGTCCAATGTCATAATGCAAGGGTGTTAAACCAGGGGCCGGAAGTGGCCCGTACACGGCTCTTATCCAGCCTGTGAGCAACTGATGTGACGGAGGGAAGGCAGGGGGACAAGCGGGTACATGCAGTGAGGTGTGTCAAGAGATAAAAAGGAAATTGCTAGGGGGCAGAACTATGAGCCTGAGGTAAAACAGTGGGGGGGGGAATGGCAGTGAAGGCAAAGGAAGAGGAGGTGTGGTGGTTTTCCCCGTCCTGCCTCTTCCAATTGCAGCTCAGCAAGAACATGTAGGGGGTAAAGCCAAGTGGCTGGCACTGCCACACCAAACGGCAACCATGAGCAGGGTTGGCAAAAGGCAGTGCGTGGATTGGTGGTTTGCTGTTGAAGGGATGGGCCCGGCACATGAATTGGGAGGCAACTGGGCTGTCTTGAGTCCGCCACTCTGAGGGGAAAGACATCCCAGGGTTGGAAGTAAGTGGAGAAGCAAAGGGGAAAAGGGGCACTGCTGTCGCCACCACATATCTGAACAGCCACAGAGACCAGGAGGCAGAGTGAGTGTTGGGGAGGGTGGGGGAGGGTGACCTCCCTTCTCCCCCACACCTGTTCCCAGACCATTAAGGAAAAGGAGTCACAGGAGGACAAAAAGCACCCTTTGGAGGTTTTGGAAACAGTGTCTCCACCAGGCCTTCTCCTCAGCTATGCAGCTTCTGCGGGAAATGCAGGAGGTATGAGAACTGGCGGTAGGTGGATCAGGGAGAGCCAGGTTCAGACCCCTCCTCCTCCTGAGCCAGGACCCTGTTGTCCGGGTCACCCAGGGATAGGCACTTAGCATAGACCATTTCACAGGGTTGTGGTCGGTGGGGGGATGGGGCGATGGAGGCAGAAGTCTGGTATGCCTCCTTGAGATCCTCAGAAGTAGGACAGGGGAAGAGAAGAAACAAAGAGTGAAAGACAGATCATAGCCATGCTTGGCTGCTGAGGCTGGGCATATGGGGTTGTGTGCTAAAAAACTAACTGATTGACTAGCAAGGAAGATGACTCGTCTTTTAAAAGTGCTATATATACAAATACTAATTTGTATGGAAATATAAGATAACCCCCTCCTTTTATGGTATCCCTTGGAAAAAAATCCTAGTCTTGCGTACAATTAAATACATTTATTGAGTCATTTGTGGATTCCCCAGTAAATCAACTGTTTTCACTCCTAGGAAACAATTGCTTTCATTTGTATTTTGAGTAATGTTAATTGAGTTTGCCTGTGACATTTACAACGTTTATATCTCTGGTACCTGAAATTACATTTTATGGCACTCATGGTCCGGCCTAACAAAGTAACATTTATGTCAGATCCAGCCCACGTAACAAATGAGTTCAACACCTCTGCTAATGGCTTATCCAACCCTTGAGTAGCCTGTACACACTCACTATGTTTACATGCCATACACTTTGACACAAACTGACAGCATTTATCGGGGAATGCATCCCTGCCTTCTCAAACAGGATAGAAGAAATATGGATGTAGCTATTCTACAAGTATAGACCTGATAGAGAAGCAAAACTGAACATATGAATACTATTGACGTACAAGGTGATGAATTTAACAGAAGCCTAGAAAAAGTACCCATTACTTTAGACCCATCACATTTTAGTGTATTGGTTAAATTACCCCAACCCTTTCTTTAACCCATATGCCTCAAAGTTGATGGGTGTGCATGTATCACAGGCCCTTGACAGAATAAAGGAAAAACCATAACAGAGGGCTAAAACCTCAGATGAGGAGTTCCAAAACAAGATTACAAGCAAAACTGATTTCTATCTAGAAGGCACTAGAACTCAGTTTTGAAAACAGTTTGTTAAAAAGTATGATTGATGTCTAATAGTTTTAGATCTCTCTTTTATGACTCTGCATCTTCAGGTTTTTTACAATATTTTATGAAAAAATTTCATAACAATTTAAACAATACATGCATGATATGGTTTGTATTTTAATTGATTTGTTTTACCACCGGAATCTAGTTTACTTTTGAAGAAGGAGCAACATAATTTTTGCTTTGAAGACCTGTGCCCACTGACACCTTTCCTGGCACCCACCTAGTGTTTCTAGAAACTGGGTGGGGCTAGGTGGGACTTTTGCCAGGCAGGGCTTCTGATTGGCTGTGCAAATTTTTAAAAAGTTGCTTCAGCAGCAGCTGCTACCAAAGCACAAGGATCTTCACTGTGCAACTGAAGGTAAGCTCTGTGTATGCAAGAAAATATTTTTAAATAATATATTCATTTCAAAAGGCATCAAAAGTTACTATTAGTGTTATGCATGAACTCACTCCCTGTCACCTCCTGCGCCCACCATTTTGAGGCCATGCGCACCACCCTGTGTCAGAATTCCAACTGTACCCTCAGGATCAAAAACACTGGGGCCCGCTGATCTATATTGTTAAGCGTTAGATAGTTTTGTTCGTTTCTACTACCCCTGGAGAAGATCCTACTGGAATTAAACACAGTATCAGGTAGAATTCTTTCATACACTACTGGATCTTTTTTCAAACTGGAGATGTCAGGGATTGAACTTAGGACCTTCTGCAATAAAGCAGATGTTCTACAACTAAGCCATGGTCCCTCTCTAATTTGACAGAGCAGCAGACAAAGGTGTCTTCAGCACAAGGAAAAAACACCAACAAATGACATTGTTAGATCTTCTATGCAATACAGTAAATAAATCTTTGACTTACCAACTGAAAAAGAGTGATTAGTTCTTATGTCCGTGAAACAAACGGCACTGGATTTGTTACACCTGTCAATACCACCGCAGGGATTTATTTCATAGCGTACATTTTTCTGTGGATCAACTGCTTCCCACGTATACCTAAAAAAAAAAAAAGGACTAGAATGGATTTGTTTCACCAAATTGCATTTACTAATACCTGCTTCCACACAGCAACTCCAGTCTTAAAACCAACTGCTTTTTATTAAGGTTTGACATGTGAAGAGACTTTAATTGTACTGCAAACACGAACAGATTTAGGACTGACCCAAGAAACTTTAACCGCAACATAACTGACCACCTTCTTGAAAGATACATTTCAAATAATTTTAAGGCAGTGAAATGAAGGTAAGAATGTATCCTTACTAAATCAGACAAGTCCACTACAGTTTAGATAAGTCACAATGCACATGCAAGAGATTTACAATGGCCAGAAGAGCTTATTTGGAGAGCAGAACTGGGTTGCCAACTCTGGGTTGGGAAATTCCTGGAGATCTGGGGTGAGAGTGTCATGCCACCCTCCAATGCTCACATTCTCTCCAGGGGAGCTGATCTTTAGTTTGGAGATCAGTTGTAATTCAGGAAGAACTCCAGGCCACACCTGGAGGCTGGCAGTCCTAGAGCAGAAAGGTCTTCAACTGACACTGGGGGGCCCTTGAGTTCTACCAACTCCGCCTTCCAGGAGCCTATTCATACCACATTCCACCCCATGAAGAGGATCTCCAAACCTCTGTAGTAACTTTAGAGCTGACTGTAGCAGAAGAAGGGGGTGGGAGGAGTCTTACTGTACGAGCAGAACTTTGCTTGCACTTGTCTAGATCCAAAATTTGCTTTTAAATTTTGGCTTTAGTCTTTAATGCTTTATCACAAAGACACCACTGAAAAGTGGGGGGAGTGGACTTTCCCCATTTGTATATTAATGCTTCCAGAATAAAGTATTTCTCTTAGGTTGTTACTCAAAATGAGTCATTCAAGGGAAGCTAAATATTGATGCACCACACACCCAGCCAGAGAAATAATCAATTTAAGATGGCAATGAAATAAGATCCGATAAAGTTCAATTCCTTTAACAGTCAATATAACCAATTTAATACTGCACTGGTATTGAATGGCCATATTTTAACTTTCGAACATTACATGACAATGAGTTCAACACATCCACACATTATTTGTAGCTTGCTTCATAAAAAACCCTCAGCATCATAGAGATACTTAAAAACAGCAGCTAACAATAAAACTAAAATATTTAAACCATTAAACAGACCATCTGTAAGATTAAAGGCAGCAAGCCAGTTTACCAAAAGGCCTTCCTAAGACGTTCTGTCTCACATTGTCTGTGGAAGGACAGAAGCTTCGGAAAGCTCCCAACCTCCTCTAGTAAGCTGTTTCACCAGATAAGAACTACAGTTAGGGACACAACTGCGTTCCCAGATTGGCCACTGCTGTTTCAGCACTTGAAAAGGCATGTGGGGAGGACAGTATCTAGTCCTGCTGCAGACCCAATGTGGAATGGTTTTTTAAAAAAATCTCCCCATTAGGTATTAAAACAGCGGCGGCATCCCTAGGTCCAACCGGGAAGCTCAGTCACATCTAGTTCTGCCCTCATGAGAAGGCCCAAGTATGTATTTTTCTCTCTCTCCACTGATATCACCTTACAATATTCTTATAATCTCTCTTCCATCTCAGAGGCCCTGTAAATGTGACTCTAGCCACAGGTAGCTCCTCTGCGGCTTGGCAGTGTCTAAATGACCAAGCTTCAAAGTGCTGGTTCTTACCTATAAAGCCCTATATGGCCTGGGTCCAGCCTACCTGAGGGACCGTCTTTCCCCACACGTTCCCCCAAGAGCACTGCGGTCAGGGGCCCAAAATTTGTTGGACATCCCGGGCCCCAAGGATGCTAAATCAGCTGTGACTAGGGCCAGGGCTTTTTCGGTGGCGGCTCCTACCTGGTGGAATGAGTTCCCGGGGGAGATCTGAGCCCTGCGGGACTTTATGCAGTTCCCGCAGGGCCTGCAAGACGGAGCTCTTCTGCCAGGCTTTTGAGTAGGAGCCGCCGCCCCATTATACCATCACCCCCATTGCACCTAAAGGACGTTGCGAGGCCCTGAGGAAGAACTTGGGAATGGTCAGAAGATTCTGGAGAAGAACTGAGCTGAGTCATCTTGGACTTATGTTTAATAATTGATTGAGCACCACTGTTTTAATGTTGGATGTTTTTATTATGTATCATATGTTTTAATTATGGCTCAGTTTTACCTTACCTTTGTGAGCCGCCCTGAGCCCATCGGGGAGGGCGTGATATAAATATTAAAAATAAATAAATAAATCATTGATGACTTGCCCACGGGATCAGCATGCTAATTCAAAAAGGTATCAAAGCCACACATAGCAGACCATATACTTCAAAGCCAAGATTGCAAGGCAGCCTTCTCATCTTTCATTTCCAATTCACATGGCTCCCAATAAACCACAGTACATTTGTTATATAGCAAGCACAAAGTCTGGCAAAAGGGCTACTTGAAGTTCTAAGCAAGAGCATGTCTAAGGCCTGGTTCTCATGGACGTAACAAGCCTGTTCCAGGGCTATACCACTTCAGACAGAAAGTATGGGCACACATGTTTACATGCATACAAAAATGGCAATCTTCCCATAAAGCCAACTGTACATCAGGGAGAAGAGCTCTAGTCTCATTTCACTATACCATACTAGTTTCTATGCAGATTTTTTCCTATGAAAAAACATTCCATTATGTGAGTCCCCAACTAATGCCTGAAGTCATATAGCCCAGGAACAGGTCTGCTCATCTCAGAGAGTATGAAGTATGCTTTTATACTGCATCTAGAAAAAACCTTCTATAATCAGTTTACATTGGACAATTTGAAAACTATCACCGTTTTCAAAATTGAAGACTGAGTCCAGGAAGAAAAGCACCTTTGAGAAAGCAAGGCACACCTTTCCCTTACTACAGAATAACAGCGGCCTCTTCCCTTCCCAAGCATGTATAATTCAAGGGCAGGTTGCCTCTGAGCAGAGACATACATGGGGCTTTCAGACAATTTGCTCCAGAAATGATAACACACAACCCCTCAAACTATCTCCTATCTTTTCCCTGCCTCCAAGTTGCTTCACAAAACAGAGTTGTTGTGTTTTTTTTTAATTCAGCACAATGGGGCAGCAATTTTTTTAATTAAATAACAATTTTGATGCCTTATCAATATATTGTGTGTAAACAGGAGTGTCTTCCCCAAAGCCTTTCCTTACCAAACTTCTATGCATACCTATCTGACTTCCTCGATCAGTATTCTGCAATATGAGTGGGTTGAGAAAGAAGCAGCCAATGGTAAATACGTCTAATTTGCAAGATTAGGGGAAGAGACGTTTAAACAGGAAAAATATTACTCCTCTGTAGATGTTCTGGAGAACGTGGAACATAAATCTAGATCATTTGGAAATGTTTGATTCCAGTTTCTCTTCTTGCCTCTGCAACGTATGTACTTTGTGATCAAGTTATTGAGGTGCAAGGCTGTTCCACAAGCCAAATGGCATAACGTTTCAGAGACATATATACTGCTTGGGAAAGACACTACTTTACAAATGCCTATGATAGCTAAAAAGACAGAATACATGTCACATAGTAGAATGAAGCTGTTCTAAATGGAACATTTAGAGCAAGGGCGTCAAACTCATTTGTTATGGGGGGTCGGGTTTGACATAAATTGGACTTTATCGGGCTGGGCCATGCGTGTCATAAAATGTAATGCCAGGCAGCAGAGTTATAAACTTTATAAAGGACACAGACAAACACAATTAAATATATTATAGCAACTATTCCATTAGGAGCCCCACATTAGGAGGGTGTGTGTGTGTTAAAACAAATATTTCTCTGCAAAACTGAAGTTCCCCGAGTTTGTTGAACTCTATATTTTAACTGTAGTTAGTCCCAAACCTCCCCCCACCATAAAAATATAAACTACAAATATAAATGGTCTGAGCCTAGGACCCAGGGGAAGAACATGAAATGGCTGAGCATTTCAAGCTTCCACCCATCCCCACAAGTCTACTCAGAGTGGCAATGGCTCTCCAGGGTCTCGGGTTTTTTTTTACAGGGTGATTTGAGATAATAATTTTGGGTGTCCTCTTCAAAACTTGTTCTGCTATTATTCCCTTGGGGCTCCACATTAGGTGGGTGGGTGTGTTAAAGCTAATGTATCTCTGCAAAACTGAAGCCCCTTGAGTTTGTAGAAGTCTACGTTTTAACCCTGGCTGGTCCTAAACCTCCCCCCCCCCATGTCATTAAAGCATGCCTGCCTAAACTGGAAAGGTGGGGGAATAGTGTGATTTCGCAAAGCAAGTTGTAAAATAAAAAAAGAAGCACAAGGATCACAGCAGAAGGACTTCCCCCCAGCTCCTACCTGGGAGGAAGACTACGGAGACCAGGAATGGTGGCTGGGAAGTTTGGCAGCCCCACCATGCTTCCTGCTCTCAGAGGCAGCCCTGCCCTCTGCTCTTTTACTCCAAGGCAGCTCAAGCTCAGAACAGCGAGGTTGGGCAGGGGAGGGGGGAGATAAGAGAGCCCCACTCCCGGGCCGGGTTAAAGGCCTGGGAGGGATGGTTCCGGCCCACAGGTCATAGGTTTGACACCCCTAATTTAGAGGGTGGATGCCTACAACAGAACTTTGAACGTTTAAATCAATGGAAACAAACTGGAGGAAGTCTGCCCAGGATTGTACTGTGAGGCAGTTAAACTCCTCATTCAATTCAATGGCATTCTGTGATGAACTCACACCAGGACAGCATCTAACTACCACATGACTGCAGCTTACACAAGAATGTCTTCACTCTGCACTAGTTTATTCTGACATTTCACCTGTTATTGGTTGGTGGCTGCCTTTTTCAAGATTTTAAATGCTTTCAGCTAATTTGAATAAAGCAGTTAGGAAAAAAGCATAGTATAAAAATGTAAGACAGCATCCTTAAGCTCAAATGTATTGTTTGAATTTTGCATTTAAGAGGTCACATCTTAAGTGTTAAAAAAATCCCACTGAACCATTTAACTTCGCTTGCTCTCCCAAGATCTGAGCCAAATGGGGAAAGTCCCAAA